CACCCACCCCCCACGTTAAAGAAGAACACCTTGCCCTTGACAGCCAGCTTGTGGGAGTCGACTCTCTGCAGATAAATACTGAGATACTTCTGCCTGTATGTAGAAGGAGTGTTTGTGAGGCGGTGAACATGAAGTCTTTGGTGGATCAGAAGCATAAAGAAATACATGTTCACTGTGTTTGTGTACAGGCCTGAAGTCTTAGCTTCTCATCCCTCAAGTTTTAAGTTCTTTACTTACTGTGTGTCATAGTATTGACTTCAAAATACTGCTGCTGTTGGTTTTAGGCTTCACTGCCACACACAACAACACACACTGTAACATCACTGAAATATATCGAGCCAGTAGAAGCATTTGAACAAATCTCTACTGGCTGCTAATTCATGTTCCAATACTAAATGATGTAACAACAATGCTGTAATATGACAAATGTGCAATATATACATATTTAGGAGTAAATATACTGTTTACTACCGTCATCTGGCAGCTACTTCAATACTCTCTGATTACTTTAAAGAGGCCCTATTATGCTTTTGGGGTTTTTCCCTCTCTTTTAGTGTGTTCTATAGGTTTGAGTGCATGTAAATGGTCTGCAAAGGCTAAAATCCCGATGTTTACTTCCTGAACATAGTGACATCACTGTGTAACACTTGTGCTATTATTGGCTAGCACTCCAACACATTGTACGTGGCACACAATACAAATATGAACCTGAAAATGAGCAGAATAGGGCCCCTTTAAAGTCATTTTTACAATGTTTTTTTATTGTATTATGTCTTAATGCTTGTTTTTGTAACCCACTTCAAAATGTCTTGTGTTGAATTGTGCAATATAAATACATCTTGCCTTACCTTGTGCTTGTTTACCTTACCTATGTTTACCTTTTTTATTAAATATATTTGCTGCATTACGCTCATAGGCCTTATTTTCCAAGTCATGGTTTAACTCAAAGTCTGTGATTAATATCCTTTGGTTCATATTTTGAGATTCTTCAGAGTTAACCAACATCCTAAAAACTACAATCTTTCCATCATTATTCAGAGCGCTTTGAGTACCCTAATTTACACATTTATTATGCTATAGTTGCAATAAAGTGGGCGCAGTGGGTTGTCTGTTTGATCATCAGATCAAGGGGGTGTTGGGGAACTCCAGTTCGAAACCCGCCTCCGCCGCCACTGTGTCAGGCCGTTGTGTCCTTGGGCAAGACACTTCACCTGAATGTGCTCCTGTGGGTATTGTCCACAGTACATGTATGATATTAATGTGTATTTGTAAAAGCGCCTTGAGGTGTGAAGATGGGCGGTGTGGTGCACTGCGCTGTGCATTGATTATCAGATCAAGGGGGCGAAACCCGCTGCGTCTGTAAAGCCGTTGTGTCCTTGGGCAAGACACTTGAATTTGCTCCTGTGGGTATTGTCCACAGCACATGACCATTGCAATGTGCAATGTGTATTTGTAAGGAGCGCTTTGAGAGTCATTGAAAAAGCGCTATAATAAATATAGTGTAAGGATTATTATTATTAATATATATACTTTAACCTTTTTATTAGCAAATCTTCAAGAAAATGTCCAAAGCTAATTAGTTGTATATGATCATATTATTTTTAAGGGAATAGAGAGGGATCACATGCACTGCAGCTTTACACTAATGGTCCCTGTTGAGTCATAGGATCTAACCTGACAACATAAAGCAGTGGTTATATATATTGTTATCCTCCGCACTGTACACTCGGGGGCTTACAAAACATAATTAAAGAAATTTAAACCTGACAAGCAGAGAGTGTGTCCGGCTGAACGGAGCTAATTAGAGCTGTGACATGATAATTGGGCAGGATAAGAATAAACACAGCAGGTCATTAAATGTTTAGGGGATACAGAACAAGCTGTTTTTATTGAAGCAGACGTGCTGAAAGCGAGCCGTGTTTTTTCGGACTGTATTAGCCTCTTTCTGTGTTAATCCTGCCGTAGACATGTGGGTCAAACTTAATGCAGATCCCTGAATGTGCAAGAATATTAATCAATGTTAAACAGCTTCACTGCCAGCTTTGATTGGGTTAAACTCTAACTAATGATATGTGATGTCATTTATCAGCTTTTTTTTATTTTTACCAAATGTAAATGATACGTCAAATGTCTTTCTAATTTTACGACTGCCTGCAACATCAACCAGTGAAAGTGACATGAATAAATTCCTCACAGGGATTGATATCTGTGTCATCTGATCACATCAGCTGGCTGCAGACTTTAATTAAACACAAACCAAATCAATCACATGGACAGTGATGAGTGATTTACATCAGAGCCGTGACACTTTATATTCTGACAGCCTCATAACAACTCTAAGATGATATATTTCAGACAAAGTTCTCACAAACAGCTCATCCAAACTTTATATGAAGTTTAGCAAGGTAATCTGACATTTGGTAAAGTAAGGTATTTTAAGAGCTGATTGTGGTATGAGTCATCATTTCAGCACTTCCTGTTCCCTTGTCAACGGTTTTCTGAATGTGTTTGTGGTTATAAGCCTGAAATAAGGTCTGTTGCTAACAAGTGTCGACGACTAAACGCCATCAGGCCCAACATTAGCCGCCTTTAGCTTAGCGGTGGTGACGTGAAGTCATGTGACCGTGCTGTAGTTCCTTTATAGCCCAACATTAGCCACCTTTAGCTTAGCGGAGGTGACGTGAAGTCATGTGACCGTGCTGTAGTTCCTTTATAGCCCAACATTAGCCGCCTTTAGCTTAGCGGTGGTGACGTGAAGTCATGTGACCGTGCTGTAGTTCCTTTATAGCCCAACATTAGCCACCTTTAGCTTAGCGGAGGTGACGTGAAGTCATGTGACCGTGCTGTAGTTCCTTTATAGCCCAACATTAGCCTCCTTTAGCTTAGCGGTGGTGACGTGAAGTCATGTGACCGTGCTGTAGTTCCTTTATAGCCCAACATTAGCCACCTTTAGCTTAGCGGTGGTGACGTGAAGTCATGTGACCGTGCTGTAGTTCCTTTATAGCCCAACAATAGCCACCTTTAGCTTAGCGGTGGTGACGTGAAGTCATGTGACCGTGCTGTAGTTCCTTTATAGCCCAACATTAGCCACCTATAGCTTAGCGGTGGTGACGTGAAGTCATGTGACCGTGCTGTAGTTCCTTTATAGCCCAACATTAGCCACCTTTAGCTTAGCGGTGGTGACGTGAAGTCATGTGACTGAGCTGTAATTCATCTATAGCCTAACGTATGCTGATTGTATTTATGCTTTAATATTTCCGAGTAGCATAAAAGTGTGTTTGCCACAGAGTTTATTTTCTGAAATAATCCAAAATCCAATGGAAAAATCCAATGGAAAATCCTCATTGCACCACTCTCTTATACCATGCAAGTCACCATTTATTTCATGGGCAAATACCTCTTCTTACAATGTTCTGAGAATATAGATGTATGTCTGCCTAGAGTCACCCTGACAGCATGATGTTAGTTCAAAATAAAATAATCCTTTGGACTTTTATTTTGAAGTTTTGTTGTGAAAGCTTTCCTCGTTCTGATGCTGTTTATGGCAAAATGGGTAAATGATAAAACCTCTTGTTTAAAGGGGGCTTTCAGACAATATTTCAAGATGGGGGCTGTGGCTAAGTGGATAGAGTGCTGGACTTCAAATCAGGGGGTAGCAAGTTCGAGTCCCACTGCAGTCAGCATGTCATTGTGTCCCTGAGACACTTCACCCCAAAGTGCTGCTGTGGGGATTGTCCACAGGACTCAATGTATGTACGCTTTGGATAAAAGCGTCAAACAAATGACATGTACTGTAATGATTAGCTAGCCATGAACTCACACCAGAAAGCCAATTAAGCTTTAACCACATACATTTTTAATTATTTAAAATAGTATAATTTTTTTGTAGCAGGACCAACCCTGACCCTGAATTTTTAACATCTGACCACAAAACAAAACTTCTAACAAGGCCAAACAAAAACAGAAAACAACAGTCCCACCGGCCTATTATAAGTTGGTATCTCATTTTCTTCCACAATACACACTTAAATGCCAGTTGCAAAAACAAAGAAAGAGAAATTCAAATGGAAATTGGCTGTTTTAGTGACAGCTTCAAATGAAACATGCATATAAATGGCTGCTTTCCTCGACTTGGAAAACACAATAAAATGACTTTAATCTAAAAGCACACTTAAGAATACCTCGGTGTTTGGCTTGATGACTGCTTTTGTTTTAAACCTCAGGTTGACAATCTTGTTAAGAAACAAGAGGCTGGAGTTTGGGAATTATCTCTGAAATAAGTCCTTTGAGGCAAGTAGAAAACTCCTACGTTTTTATCTGTTCTTGATTACAATGATCAGCTGTTAATGAATGCATCTTCACATTGTTTGCACATGCTAGATGCTGCGTATCACAACTAAATGTTCACTTATTCATTCATTGATACTTCTCCATTAACAAAGGCATTATGGGTAAACTTTCATTTGCACTTTGATGGCACCAAAATCTGGATGCAGTTATATTCTTAGATCACAAGATTTCATAGTTGTTCCAAGTGCACAGACTAAACTGGGTAAAAATAGCTTAAAAAACACCTGAAACCAAGATAATTGGTCTCTATGGCACATTTATGTATTTCTGTCTTGTCTTCTTGAGGTTATCACTGTTATGATCCCAGTTAATCTGTCTATCAGTGTGATGTTTGTTTTTACTTCCTGTCTTTGTGCGTTTCCCGCCTTTTTTGATTTTCTGTCCCGCTCTTTTTACTTCCACCTCTTTACCATCGTTTTTTTTCTTGTATGTTATATATCAGTAACTTCTGTTCTGTTTTACCTTGTATAGCATTCTGGCAGCCGACAATAAAGGCAATTTCTGTTGAAAAGTTCTTGTCTCTTTGATTTTGGTCCACTCGCTGCTGTTTATGCTAGGTCAAGATAGCTGATTTCAACATGTCCTGGTTTAATATGGGTAAAGATCCTTCATAAACATGAGGACAGTAGTGTATGTAGTCTGGTACTCACGTCTCACATCCCTGAAGTAGATGGTCTGTCTGTTGGGGTTGAGCAGCTGGATAACGGAGTCGTCGTTGTTCTTCACTCGACAGCTGATGATGGCCATCTCGCCCTCCACCACCGACACATTGTCCGTCACCAGGTTCTGACTCACCACTGAACAGAATAAGACAAGAGGATGGAGATTAACACAGGTGTGTGAGAGAATAAAGGAAAAGAAAAGGCACTTTAAGAACATAAACGTGAAGATGGATTTCTAATGATTTCACGTTTGAAAAAGAAACCAGGATAGAGGAATGGAAACTGAAATGATACGCAATGAGGAAGACAAGTGAGGAAAGAGTGGAAAAAGCAAGTAAAAGTCCTAGGAAAAGTGTATTGTATATTGTATTGTAATGTATTCCAGAGTAATATAAATATATGAACAGTGTACACTTCATATTTAGTTTTGTAGGAAGAAAAGATCATTAGATTTCAACTTAAAATACAAGGAATGTATATGTTTGGTTTACATTGGGCAAAGGTGCACAATATGACCAGGAATCTGATCTGAAAGGTTTTTTTTTATATCATCTCGACTTTAATGTGAAATCCTTGTGGCCTACTTATACTGATTGCCTAGTTTGTCCTGAAAAGAAAGATGTATTTTGCCTGAATATGCCTTTCAAGGTTCAGGTTATACAAGCATTATTACACAAGAAGCAAAGAGAGATAAATAATTATTTCTACAGTTTCTTTTATTTCATTGTTTCGGTGCAATATAACATTTAATGAGTGGAAGCAGCTGGTGGATCAGCTCTATTAAAAGCGTGTCCATCGGAATAAACAGAAATAAACAAGAGGAATCGGTCACGGCCGTCCTCGGTCATCAGCTGCCGCTCAGATTGCTCCACTTCCTTGTTTCACAAACAATATCTCGCCGGCTGAAGAATGAAAAATGGATTCTCTCGAGCTGTATTCTACTCTGATTTGAAAAACTACAGTAATAACATCTCAGACTTTGCTTTGGGGTCGCAGACATTGTTGTGGTTGGTGGTAAACCTTGAGTGGTTTATTAGAAATGATCGCTTCACAGGGGAGAGGGTACTTATATCGGCCCCCAGCAGCATATTTTCTTCGGGAGATACACACTAGCTGTAGGCTACGTGGACACAGACCTATTTTTTTTGTTGGCATGTCATATTTGTGGATGCATCTTGCAGTATTGTTTTGGACACTTGGTGGAGATGATTGGATGCACAGGGATAGAAAAATCAGGGCATAGGTGAAAGTTTTTACGAGGCCTACAGACAAAACAACACTGACTTGCAGAACTTTTATAACCTCGTAATGTAAAACCACTTAATGACCCTCAAACTAAACAGGATATGACGACTGGATAACCCAAACCTAACTGCATTTTAACGGCACCCAGGAAAAAGCACACTGGAGAATGTAAAACTTGCCATTTCGAATACTGTATAAGTAGAGGTGTGTACAAATACCACTATTCTGCCCAGCAGCTTGTCCACATCTCACCAAATACACACTAAGCAGCAACAATATATCTCACTGATAGTATCAGAAATGAGAAAGCACAGACCTCCACCAAGGCCGAATCTTGCCATAATCGTACTAACAATGGCATGTTTTACATAAAGTCTTGAGCTGTTGCTAAATCTCGATCAGACAAAAGAGTGTTAGGTATGTCAGCCAGCTGTTCATAGATGTTATCAAACTACCGTAGGCAAGAAAAGGCAAATTATAAAACATCTATATGCTCCTTAGGGCACACAATGATACATTACCCAGGATAAAATGACAAAAGTGTGCCTGGCTCCCCACATATGTCGAATTGAGGAATTTTGAGGCGGACACTGGGTTATCTAACAGCAGCATTGAAAAGCTGGTTCTGGTATTAGATGGTACATTTAGTCTCTAACGGCCCGTCCACACAGCAGCGTTAAAAAAATCTTCTAACGCTTCTGCCCATTCACTTTGAATGGGGTGACGTCACTTTGCCTCACTTTTCGCCGAACTGCATTGTGGGAAGCAAAGCGGAGATTTTCAGGATTCAAAAGTTGAGCAATGTTCAACTTTTGAAGCTGAGGTGGAAGCGTCAGCCAATCAAATCCCGTGTATGCAAATCTGACAGTTCAAGCGCTAGCCAATCAAACGGCGTGTATGCTGGGAGAGACATACCGCAGGTCATTTCCTCATATTCCAAAACATGGAGGAGAAATGAGCGGTAGGGAATCACCCGGTGCTTTATGACCAGTCCCTATTTACCTACCGGGATACAAACCGGAGGAGCCAGGCATGGAGGGAGGTGGCAGGGACAGTGGTAGCTTTTCGCCTGTTTGGGGAGTTTATATCCAGTTTACTTCGGGCTTTTTTGCTTCGTATGTCGGGGGCGGGAGATTCATGTGATTGGTTGTTGGTGCCTTGCTCGCAAAAAATCCCCAAGCTTCAGATACGCCCACCTCCAAGATTCTTTTAACGCTGCTGTGTGGACGCTCCGTAATAGCCGATGTACATACATTGCACCAGTGTCAAACCTAATCATATATCCCAGTTATCATTAAATATTAAGGTCGGAAAGGTTCCAGTCAACTACTTTTTTCACTTAATTTAAGATAAAAGTTAAGAAACATGAAGTTTAAACTGCTAATGTTTAGAGTACATTAGATAACAGCAAGATGCTTTGGCTGAGGCTGAGAGAAAATCCACAAATGACGTCTTTTTAATTCCCTGTTATACTTCCCTCCTACATAGCTACGAAAATAGCATCACAAATAAATTCTTCTCAAAGAGGTTAAAGGACCGGCACGGGGGGGGGGGGGGGGGGGTGGTGGTTAGGTGGAGAGGGGTTGGAGAAAAAAAAGAAAACGCAGGGAACATCGACTCTTAATTTGCATTCCTCAGTTGTCAAGCACCTAAATATCCCTGCCATTTAGGAGACAAGGAGGATGAGGGGGGGGGGGGGGGAGGAAGAGCATCGTGAGATCTGACAGATAAGGAGAGACAGCTTAACAAACCAGATTCAAATGAGCATCCCCGGGTGGCGAAATAAATGAACCTGGTATTTAATATTCAAGCCTCGTTGAGAGGTAGGCGGCAGGGTGGGCATCTGGTTATGATAATACGCTAACATACTACAAAATGCATTTCAAGGCAGCGGCTGAAGGTTACAAGCTGGGTGCTAAGTTGTGTTTGGAGGAAGTACCAAGGACTTCAAACGCCCTGTCAGAGGCTTAATTGTTCCCGTTGTGCGAAATAAACAACTCTGACACGCTGGAAGATGGTCCGGGGAGCGGGGGGGGGGGGGGGGCTTCACGCTAATTAATGGCCAACAACAACCATGTGCCACGGACACCTAGGACACTGTGAAGAAAAAGCACTTCTGACACCAGGGTGGGCGAACGCTGTTTGAAGCTTTTTTTTAACATTTCAAACAGTATTTTTTGCAACAAAGGTCTCAATGTGTCTGAGTGCCACGGTGGAAACCAAAGGGATTTAAATGGGGGCAAAGCTTGTTCCTGGAAAATGTGTTTTATTGGTCAACCTTAACTTATTCTGTCTATTGAATAAGATTAAGGCCTCGGCTCCACGGTAACAAAAACGGGTTGAATCCGCATATTTCTCTTGCGTATAGCCCTTTAAGCTAGACGACGCCATAACGGAACGGTAGAAACGGACCCTGCAAACGACAACGGGTCCAAAGGTGGATAGATCTGGGAACGGAGCGCTCTGGGGGGTCCAACGGGGCCGTGGGGTCGCCTATACGGTCATCCGTTTCTGATAATGACGACGCAATAGCCCCGCCTCCCCCCCCCCCTGCTGCTCACCCCCGCCTCAAAGTACACTGCACACTGAATTCAGATTATTTATCTTTCTCTCGATATGGACATAAACGCGAGTGAAGTCTAATCTGACAGGACGGAGACACGCGCAGCTCCTCCTGCTGTGAAGCAGCGGGAGCAAAACACACACTTCAAGTCAGATCACCACCCTTAGCTATTTTAATTACCTCTCAAACTAAACTAGTTATAAATATGTTTATTTTTACTGTCGAGTCATCATTACTGGATCAGCTGCTGCATGAGGAAGCATGAAGATTTAAACTTTAACACACATTGACCGGCGAAAAACTCTGCGCGGATCCCTCGGCCCCCACCAAGGAGAATAAACAGAAGTGCAGCCATGACAACCATTCTTCTTCGCTGCTTTTGTGGAGGAAGTTACAGCTCCACGTACAGGCTCGGCATATGTACTGCAGCTTTTGGAGCAGGTTGGATGTAAACGGAGCCGTCTCGTGGAGCTTGACACAATCCGGTGTATATTGCGTGTGGGCGGAAGCTTTTTGGCGTTTGCGTTTGCGTTACTCCGATGCGTCTTACCGTATGCGTTCCCGTGGAGCCGGGGCCTAAATGGGGAACCAAACAAAGATTGTTTTGCATTTAAAGACCATAAAGTGGTTTTACGTGTTAAAGCCCATTTACTATATTTGTTATTTTACCATGGGAGATTATTAAAAAGGCCCTTTAATGCTTTTTGGGGTGTTCCCTCTCCTGTTGTGTGTTCTATATGTTTTAGTTCATGTAAATGGTCTGTAAAGGCTATTGAATAAAGGCTATTTTACCATTTATTTTGCCATCCATCCATTGGTTTCAACACATTTGTATTATAATTATGTATATTATTGAAAGTTATGTGATCCAAATCAGTGATGTCTAAATGTTTTGTTAGAAATAAACTGCAGACTTAATTAAACATTGCATTTAATCTTTAGTTACAGTTTGTTGCTGAATTACTGGTAATTGTGATAAGGCTGACAATTATGAAGGGCCACATTAACATAACAATTACTTCTGATTGATTCTGCTGTTTAAGGTCATTATTAATACTTATGCAGCCATAACTGGGTCAGGTGATTCCTTTTATTAAAAGTTAAGTATATATAGCTTTTAGAGAAGCAACCATTTTGAAGGTGCAAACATTTGTCAAAGGAAAGCTAATAAAGGCGTGTTATAAGAAGGAGTAAATCTATTCTTATTTAAAGGTTAACCTATACGTTTCTGACATCTAATGGCTCAGCATGTCTTGAATATCAAGTGCTTCTTTATTTGTTATCCTATCTTCTGGTAACACCTGCATTAGGACTTTGTCAAATACAA